TTCTTTCTTCAGCCTCCTCACATTTTCTCGCTCCCTCGTTCTTCCATCATTATCCTCATAAACCATTAAAATATAATAATAATATATTATTATTGCTATCGTTGTCGTGATTATTATTATTATAACTTTTTATACGTGGAATATTTTTATCATTTTGGCTAATGATTGCACGGCAATAAAATTATATTGCCTCCCTCTCACTTATGTTACCATAAAATGGGATGTCGTCACAGCGCCTAAGACAACGGCAGCTACTTCTACTACTACTACTACTACTGCCACTACTGCTACTGCTGCTACTACTACAACTAACAAAAAAATATAAATAATAATAATAATAACTCTGATGATCATTAGCTGAAGAATGACAACAACATTATTATTAGTAATAATAATCAAAAATGTATCGCTAAAATTAACAAACAATCAGAATTTTGAACGAAACACTCGCTACATATATTTTCTGGATAACATCGAAACTAGAACAACATAAAAATAAGAAGGAACAACGTCATCCATGATGCAGCATTGACAATAGCACTTCCTTGAGAGAGCCACGCCAAACAATGCCTAATACATGATCCGACAAAATGGAACTGGAAACAAAACATTGAATAATAATAATAATAAACATAAACAATAAAAACATAAATGACAAACTAGAACAATCTAAAGATATGAAACAATAGAAAAATATACTTAAATAACAATAAGAGCAATATTTGCAACGAATATGCATAGTTAAAGTAAGAGGAGCGATAAAAAAATAATTAAAATTAACGAAACGAAAATAAATTAACGAAATTAGCAAACGAACCGCCCACTCAAACACACACACACCAACAAACACACACACAAACAAACAAACACACAAACAGACAAAACAAACAAATGTACACACACCCCACACACACATAAACAAACAAGCATACACGCTCAAACGAACACACACAAACAAAGAAATAAACAAACATACTCACACAAACACACACACAGAACACATTTCCGTCATTCGACGAGGAGAACAGCGTCACCAAATGAATAATATTCATTGTTGCCTGCCAGTAGAGTTTCCATGCAGCCGGTTGTCACGGTGATATGGATTATTACGTTGCAGATAAACCATTTATAACAGCTGAATGTAAGTGGAATAGATTCATAGATTCATTTTTTCCCTCTCTCTCTCTTTCTCTCTTGCTTTTCCACTCTGCTTCGTTTCAAACACGTTTTTTTTAAATGCGCTTCCGGTTCATGTATTTTCAAGTTTTTCCTGTTCTTCATACAAAATCTTATTATGATTAATTTGTTTTTATATAAAGTAATTTTTTATAAGAAGTAATTTGTTTACTCTCTCTACTCTCTTTCTTTCTCTTTCTCTCTCTTTTCTCTCTCTCTCTCTCTTTTCAGTCTGTTAATAATTTTTTATTTCTTTATAATCTCGAATAATAATTTGAAGATGAGAGACAATTAATACGGAACAATTATGTCTTTTTATTTTTCCTAAATGTGCATACGTTGGTGTATGCCGAAAAATACAAACATACATACACGCACACACGCACACACATGTGCATATCTAATCAAACTTGGGCATACATAGACACACGTACACACACATACGAGCAAGGATCTACAAACAATCTAAGATATAATAAGATGAAAGTATGTATGTTTGTATTGCAAAATCTCAATCTGTCTGCTTGCCTACCGACCTGACCATTGTGTATGAGAAATTGAAACAGTTGTTTCATTAAGTCCCATCTATTTATCTTTGTAATTATCGTATGCCTCAAAGAAATATTGTTGTTGTAGTTGTTGATGATGATGTTGGTGTTGTTATCGTTGTTGAATGGTTGTTGTTGTTGTTTGTTGTTGATGTTGTTGTTGTTTGGTGTTGCTCTTCTCGTTGTTGTTGTCGTTGTTTTGTTATTGTTTTTGTTGTTAATTTTAGTGTAGCTTGATTTATAAACATTGTTAGTGATATTATTGTTGATGATTTATGGTTGTTTTCATGTTTTGTTTCGTCGTGTCAATTTTATTGCTACTAGTAGTCATATTTTTCATAAAGCATAAAACATAAGTATTGCTATGGGATGAGAGTCTGTGGTTTTTATGGCTTTCAAAAAAATCCTCTCTTTAAACATCATTAACACTATTTGCTATCACTAAACTCGTCATTAAAAACGTCATCAATAGCATCATCAGTATTGTTGGCAACAACAACTACTATTCCTACTACGACAACTACTACTACTACCACAACTGCAACTGCTACTACTACAACAACTACCACTGCAGCTACTACTACTGTTGCAGTACATTGTTAGCATCTTCATCATTTGTTACTTTTATCTCATCTTTATCGTTAAATGCTATCATCACAATGACAGAGTATAATCACTCTCAAAACATTATCACTACCACCATTAGATTACCATCACCGCTATCACGTCATCAAGAAAGGAAGAACCAAAAACTCTAAAAACCTGAGATATCGATTTTTGAAAAAGTTTAATTAATTTTATAGCGCATTTCATCAACATCAAAAACCTAATCGTGATTTCGTTTCAAGATTATTGCGACCTAATCGCTACCACCGCCGCCACCAAAGCCACAGCCATCTTCAGTGGCTAATAAATAATAAATGAAATGAAATAGAATTAGAAATTTTAATTAAAAAAATTTTAAGTATAAAGGTAGAAATACTTTTCTTAATAAGATTACATTATCATATTATCGTGTTACCATTTTTTAATCATCATTATTTTGCAAACATCATAATTGAACAACATCATTCACACGTTTTAACTACAACAGCAACAACAAAAACAGCACAAACAACAACATCAACATCGTACCGACATTAACAGCAACACTGGACTCACTCAGGCACATTAAACAACAAAAAAGCCGCTAATAACGCATTCAAATATCATTACGAAATCAAAATACACAACAACACACAAAACATACATACACACAATAACATAACAACACACACAACAACATAACGGAACGTTTAACAACAGCCATACTTAACATCGGCTTTGATCAATCCACAACAAGCATTACAAACAACAACACACAAACAACAACACACAAACAACAACAAAAACAAACAGACAGACAATGACATCACAAACAAACAACATCACAAACAAAAACACATACAAACAAACAAACAAACAAAAACATCACAAACAAACAACTACACAAACAACCACACACACAAACAAACAGCAGCTAACAACATGTGCAAACAGTTGTTCAATGAAATCTCATCATAATCGTATAAAGCAATTGTTGATCGACAACAATTCTCTATTTTCAACGTGAAACACACAACAACAACAACCTAATTATCGTTATCCTCGTTATCATCACCGCCACCACCATCATCATCATCATCATCATTATCACCATTATTGTTATTATTATTATTATTATTATTATTATTATTATTATTATCACCACCATAATCATCATCATCATCATCCTCATATTATCATGTTATTGTCATCATCTTCACATTATCTTCGTATTTAGTATCGAAACCGCCTGTACCATCTAACATCACCATTATTACTTTCGTTATCATTGCGGTATCATCATTATTATCCGTTCCAGCTATTCTGTTACTGAGAGTACCAGCGATAGTTGTATTGCCGTGAGCAGAACTTTCACTGTACTTAAAGAAACATATAGGATATAATGATACTAATTATAACGCACCTGAGTTTTATAATTAAAGGCAATACTCTATGAAACCTACTTTTTTACTTAGTTACTAACCCACTACTACATACATTGCTTAATTGCTTAGTACTTTTGACTTAATTACTCGACTGCAACTTGGTTACTGTTCGTTACTTAGCAACACAGTAACTGCCTATATTAAGTATTTTTTATTGATGTCTAGAGAGTATTATTTGAACCCACTTCGATGATGGAACACATTTAATTACTTATCAGCTACATTCTTGTATACCCTTTATTGCATAATTGTATTGTTACTTCGTTCAAGTATTCCTTGAAACCTCGACCAATATCAAATAATTTTTAGATTTTAATAAAGTATATACTAGTTAGTAAATACTTACTAACATTTTGAAGTTTCGTTACTAAATAACATGGTACTTCTTACATAAGTTACTCACCTGCTACTATAATTACGTACAAACCTATCTACCTACTCCATTACTTAATTACATAGCTACTACTTTCGTGAGAAAGAATAAACCGCAAATAATGAAGCATTTGAAAACTTTCGATATAAATTATATGTATGATGTTTGCGTGTTTGTGCGTGCGTGTGTGTGTGTGTGCGTGCGTGCGTGTGCGTGTAGGCTGTGGGTCTACATACGTACATACAATACATGTTTGCGTAATAAACATTTTTCTATGTGTATCAATGTGTAAGAATGTGTGTTTGTACGTGTGTGCGTTTGTGTGAATGCGTGTGCGTGTGTGTGTGTGTTTGTGTGTGTACGTTTCATTGTTTGTTTTTCAATGTATTTTTCATCTGTGAGTTCGCATCGTTAAACTCGTTCTATTTTGTTGCTGTTTTGGTCCTGGTTTTTTAACACGTTTTTGGGGTTATTATTGCTATTATTATTTAGTTTATTATTTTTATTTTAATTATTGTTCGATTGATATTTTTGTTATTGTCATAGCGTTACATGTTG